AAATTCTTATCATGGTAGCAAAAGGTAGTGATGGTCAAAAGGAAAGCTGGACATCACGAAGCGAACGGGAATCGCGGGTGCGTTTAAACATTTTCGCTACGCGATGGTCTGTGACACTTATGCAATGAACTAGCTTACCAACTTTTAAAAGATGTAGAGAAGCGGATGTATCAATGAAAAATAGGTCGCTCGTAGATGATTTAATGTCTGACAATTATTGATGTTGCACTTGAGCCGTTGAAGTTGTAAGTGACGAGGCAGAAATTGGGTGTCTCTGGGGGCCCCGATCGATGCGGAAGTGATGTTTGGTGTTGCCGTAACATGCTGCCCGGGTTGAAGTATTTTACTTCAAGATGATGCTGCGGAGACCAGGAGTGGACATATGTTGTTGTAAGCCCTCTGGATGACTCCTTTCTTGGTTAAGATGTCTGCTACACGGTTGATGTTGTCTCTTCCCGGGTGAACCAAGACTCTGCCGAGAAGCCAAAGCAGTAGTGGTTGGTTTTGTCTTTGACCAAGACTAATGATCCCTGTTGCAGAACACCTGATGAAGAATTCCATTTTAATTTTTGTTGAAGAAGAGATACATATTCCAAAGAAAAAGATACAATGGTATAATGCACCCACTAAAAATTCCTCTAAATATAAATAGTTCTTTCAATTACCAAATTCGATTAATAAACCTAAGAGAATGCATTTATAATTTGGATGCCTTTTATGAGGACATTGCGAGTAAAAGTCTGTCATCATCTGTCAGTAATTGAGATAATTATTAAGAATATCTATTATCTGATCGTATAATTCTGGGGATTCCTCATCACAGGTACATCAAATGTTTAAACATATAAGAATGTTGTTTTGTAACGGCAAGTCTATTACATTTGTATCTCTGTTAAACATACTCGAGTCGGCTAATACGTATAATTTGTTAATACGTGGTTCCGTAGCGTGCTTAAGCATCGAATTTGGGGTTCCGCTGAGCCCCTCTGCAAATATTTCGGGGTGGTTGTCACCCCATGACCAAACCATTCGTCCTTAATGATACGTTAGCCATTTATTTCGATAACGGGATCGATGTTAATATAATTATATTGCCTAATGTTTTAATAATTGTGAAAGTAAACAAGTGCTGTATTTTAAGTTAATAAGTCTCGTAAGGTTTATTGTTAATTACCTACAAAATAATTTCAGAATCGATTTTCGATAGGTTTCTGTTCTTCTTTCTGTTAAGTTGATTTAAAATTCATTTGTCGTAATTTACATATTTTCCACAAGTCTACATTCAATTTGTTTTTTGTCATCTTTACCGCAATATTGCGTTTATAATAAAAATAATCTGTTATCATACAAATTAATATCCTCCCTATAATTCTTTCTTCTTGGATTAAGTAAGTATAAAAACTGTTACAGCTGCTGCAAGCTGTAAAAATAACAGTAGAAAACGAATCAGACCCAACCGAATAGCTACTCGCGGCTAAAGCGCCTCTCTGACGAGTTGGAGAATTCAAATTAGCATACCGCAGATGAAACAGTCGGCGCGACAATCAATTCCACACGTCACAGAAAGCTCTAAATCTGATCCGGTGACAAATAACAATTAACAAAGTCATCAATGCCTAACGAGCGACAATCGTGAATACTTCCGTCGAGGCGCGCTGTCACTTTGACGTATCGATGTGGGCGGGTTCCTGTGTTTTATCAACGCGAGACCGGCGGGTAAAGTGAACCGTTATATTTGTGCTTTTAAATCATCTAATCAATTGAAAACGGAAATTTAATAGTTTTTATTCATGTATATAAAAAATAATTACTCGGTCGTATTTTTACACTTCAGACTTTAGTCACATGACTGTTTGCTTATAAACTACAGAAACTGACAAAAAGCTTCCAATACCTATCATATACCATCGATAATGATGGCGTGCACTTATAAAGCCTACTTTCCCTTAATATACGAATTTGCTCTAGAGTATTGTTTGTTTGATTTGAAGTTTGAATTATTGTTGTAAACTTATTATCCTTACTAATATTATAAAGGCGAAAGTTTGTATGTATAGATGGATGTTTGTTACTCTTTCACGCGAATACTACTGAATGGATTTTAATGAAACTGTGCAATAATATAGCTTACACATCAGAATAAGACATAGGCTATAATTAATATATACATTTTATGTATATCTGTCTTTCTGTCTGAATGTTACGCCTTCAGCCTATTCTACGCGGACGTAGTCGCGGGCAGCAGCTAGTAAATAATAATTTGGAGTAAATTAAAGAACAAACATTGTTTTAACATTCAACCAAAGTATTCTTCCTTCATGTGTGTACGGTGGCAGTCAAACGGTGTCCATTTATAGCACTTCCAAAGGCGCGAATCCGTCACCGCATTTCGCGCCTCATTTCAGTTTTAGGACGCAATTTTCGTTTCCATTTTCAAAGAGACACTAAAATGTTGCCAAAGCAATAAAGTAAAATTAGTCGAGCGTAATGTTGTCAGCTGCACATCTTCGGATACAAATTGGTTAATTGCTCTGCCGGTTATTTATGTTACTGTTGAGACAATTCTTCTTAGAGACGTTAAGCACAGACAAATATTGTTGTCATTTTACAAAATGATTTTTAATTTTTTGTGAGAAGATTAATATAATTATAAATGAATATTAATACATAATTTTCATACATTTCCCTTTTCAGCTTATTTTTTAAAGTGATTGAACATTATGTTTTTTTTTAATTTTAAAGTTTTTTTTATAGTGCTAATCTCTGCACTTAAGATTTTAATGTTCAATCCACGTCGCGAATGCCGAAGACGTGGGTTCGATTCCCACAGCGGCAACAATCTTTTCGTACTTTTTCTACATGTTTTAATTGTGTTCAGTTACTTATAAAATGGTTAGTATGGAATCTCAACACGGATGAATAAATAATACTTTGAACGTCTAACATTAGCGTAAAAGTAATAAAAGAAATCGTAATGTATTGGAGTAGGTACCTCAACTTTATTTCTACATCGTTATTAACTTTTAATTATGAGTGAATTAGCTATTAATAAATTTATTTTAAATGGTACTTACCCGATAATATACACACCGGCACAATTAGCGGAAAAAAGCAGGGTATAGAAATAAAAACTTGTATATTAGAACAAATACAAATCATACTTCAAGTAGCAAACTGATAAACATCTTTTAAAATCGTCTTTAAGAAGTTTTTAATGAAATTTAATTAAAAATAAAAAACGCACTTGCTCTATTTTGTAGGACCACAAACAATGTTGTAAATTAAACATTACTAAGATTTTAGATATTAATTCAATGAAAGACTTAAAACGTGTGTTTACCCGACTGCGTCAAAAGGAGGGTTATGTTTTTCGTTGTTTGTCGTTAGATTCGTATATAATATCAAACTCCTTTCCAAATTACACAGAAACGTAGTCGGGTTTTTTAGTTTTTTAATTTATAACTACTTGTTTCCCCTCGTTCTCTTACTAACGTTTCCATCCTTCTGGGCGTATGTTTAGCCTGAGCGAGCATTTTGAACCCGAGCATCATACTGCATCAGAATCTGTCATCATTATCAAGGGGCAAATGGCACTATAATAATTCTTCTAAAATATCCCTGATGCACCTATCAACAGTCACTCCATCGAGCCTATGCTAACTTCTTTAAATCTTCTGTAAGCTGCTCGCTCACTTGCACTCATCGTACGACTTCAAGCTCATTTCGGCCTGCACAGCCGTTACTCGCGTGTTCGTATGAACTAGAAGTTGTAGGAAAAGGTCATCCCAACTCGAAGTGCACTTTTTTCTGCCTTGGACCCTCGCCGTCACAAGAGAATCAGTCAATCGGTACCGTCGAATATTACGATGAATCGTTGAAATTGTTTGCTGCAGTTTGGCGCCAATAGGTCTGTTAATATGACCATTTCTTCACATTTCATCTGAACTAATAATCTCTGGTGGTGTTAAATCGGTCATTTTTGGTTTATATTAACTAACTATTGACACGAAAAAAATAGTTTTTATAATTAAATTGAGAACTTTACCGAATTTATAAAACTTTTAAATTTCTCCTCAGACCGAGCTCGAATCACTAACAAATCAGTAGTACCGTGAAACAAAATCGATGGAAAAATGACCGTAACCTTATGTTCCATTTTTAAATTTAAGTTCTAAACATAAAGGTAACAAAAACCGACTAATCTTTTATGAAATATTATGGGAAAAAAAATTGTTCGTGTTCCGCCAATTATTTCGGTGTGTGTCCACATCGCTACCAACATTCTCACAACCCCCAGCCAACGATAAATACAGTCAACAGTCATCGAGAACATGCTCTGTACTGAACCTCGATGTCCTATAGGCAACATTCCTATGAGATAACGCACGCGTGGATAGAGTCGCTAATGTGCGACTCTATCCACGCGTGCCAAAAACGGCAGGCTGTAAAGCTGCAGGGATAGCCAGATCCCGCAAGGTCAGCATTCGATAAAGCTTTAATTGTTAGTCTGTTAAGTTCGTATGAAATCAAAATACATAATATAGCAATCTCTCCTTGCGAAATAAATAAAAGCTAGCGCCATCTTTTGTTGAATAGCTTACAGTAACATTGAAACTATAATGCATTAAATAATAATACAAGGTCACATGTGGGTTACCAAAGACAATTTTTTTTCTTGACTACCAAAACATTTGTTTTAACAAGTTGTACTTCTTCAATTTGGTTTGAGAAAATTAAATGTGATATCCTAAAATCTTAAATACGTTTCTATCGATTTATTCATAAAGTAAATGAAAAATTAAGCATTCTTTTTTGTTCTCGTCACAGAAAACGACCAAAAAGTGGCAAACACGTCAGTAGTGTCAAAATTTGTTGTGTCATGTCATCATTGTATTATTTTTGTTCCTAAATAACATTTGTGAAATAGTGTAAAATATAGTACAAACCAAAGAAAAAGTTTTCTACTTCAATATTTAACTGGAATAAGAATTTGTCAAAACATGCATTGGTATGGGGGTAGTATTGCGGAGGCTGTTGCTTTATCAAAACAAAGAAATGCAATTTTCGTCGTTTTTGTTGAAGGTACGATTTCATAAACCTTTAAATTCATTTTTTGGCACTTAATAGTAATTCTTATATCTTAAAATCATGAATAGTAAGCCAGAATTTCTGTACGTGCAGTTAACTAGACATCGACTACACTATGCAAATAATTCTTAATACGGGATAAAGTTTAAGATTAAAATGTATAAACCATATTTTTTCAACGTAAACTAAGTAAATTAGCCGAATATAATTGTATAACCATCAGTTAGTTTTAATAATAAACAATTATTTTATCTGGTTATTTTTTTAATTACGTCATTAATTTTGTCAAGGTAACCTTATTTTTTAACCCAAGTATGTGATGAAGTTTCACACGCTACCGAAAGAGAGTTCTTATTGTATTTTGTAAAATTCATTGACCTTATACAGCGTGTTATTACAATCGCGACAACAAATGAACACACATATAGAGGATAACTTTTTAAAATTGCATTAAACATTTACATTCTTTAAGCATCAATATTTACCGACTATTTAAATTTTCCAAAACAAAGAATTTTAGAACAATGTCAAAATAATGTCAAAAGGAGAGGCTTGTAATGCGATGCTGTGGCAACGAATGAGAAAGTCTCTTAATTTATGAATCAGTCAGTTGTATGTGGTATAGGATGTTACAAATTTTGTTTCTTTTTTATTTAATTAGTTTGTTTGAAAAATATTTTTTTTATTTATGGATTTTTTTAACATTAATATTTTTTTATAATTATTATATTATATTTATATTAAAAACTATTGTAATAATTAATAATTATTACTTGTGATTTTGTAGGTGACAATGAGCAGTCTACAGAAATGTCGGCAATAATTGATGATAGTGCGGTGGTAAAGAGGCTATCAAATACTGAAAACTTCCTTGCAATCAAATTGAAGAGTGGATCAATAAACTATACACACTTTGCACAAATATGTATCCTTTTTAAATAACATTTTTTTGATATGAGACTTATGTTTTCATAGGTACCATCTTACTTTAAGAAAAACCAATGAAAACATAAAATTCTTGCATATGGACATTGTTTTACTTTAATACTAATTTTTTCTTCAATTATTTTCTTGCGTTTTTATTGTAAAAATAATTGATAGATTTTCCAGTTGAGTAAGTTTATTTTTAATAAAATAAACTGTGGTAATTTTCAAAGCTCATTTTGATTTTTTAATATTACTTAAAACATTGCAGAAATTATATTTTATGATTTATATATTTATAATACTGTAGAGTAGTGTTTTATAATAGTATACAATTATATAATTTTTATTACTTCTTGTATTTAAGAGATTTTTATCATTATCATGTCAGGCCAGATAAATAATCTGAAATTCTAATAAAATTGATTGAAAATACATGTAAAAGTTTGTTATATTTTGTAAATAATGTTGATAGTCAGACTGATGTCTTTAGATAGCCTTTATGACAATTTAACTGTGCTTTATAATGGTCTACCTACAATTGGCTTTGGTGTCGGGGGTCGTGGGTTCGATTCCCACATGGGTCAACTATTTGTGTGACCCACAGATAGTTGTTTCGCAACTGGGTGTTTGTCGACGTGTAATTTATGTATGTAAAACGTCCTTACAACACAGGCTAATGTTATCCTAAAGTAAGGGCAAAGTTTAAAAAAACAATCAAACTAAAATGTTTATGATAACCTTGTAAATATGTGATTTACATCATAAATTTAACTCAAATAATAGATCAATTTGTTCCTGTGCCTTCGCTATTCTTCATCAGTAGAAATGGGACACCCTTGGAGGTAGTCTGTGCAGGAGTAGAGCCTCAAAATTTGGCAACAAGGATAGACAGAATACTAGAGGAACACAGTAAGTTTAAAAAGTTATCAAAAATTCCCTTTCCATTTTCAATTATTGGAAATATGAGTTTAATTATTGGAATCATATTAATAACTTATAATAAACTTGCTCAAATTAGCTATCAAATGTTGTAATAGAATTTGTTAGTAATTTGTAGCTTCTAATTGATTAATCTTCCCAGACTTGGTTAGAGCATAATTATATTTTCCACAGTCCAAATATTCATTTACTAAGTGTAGTGAATTTCTAATAATAATTTTCAGATAATGAAAAGTTGTCTTCTGCACGGCCATCTACTTCGAGCCAAAATCTAAAGGAGCAAACGGCCAATCTGCTACAAGCAGAAGCAGCTGCCAACGTCAGTAATGAGGAACCTCTTGCAGAGCCTGTAAATGCAACTGCTGATGTTGAACCTGGTACAAATCTGATTCTAACTTTACAAAGCAACGCAATTTTTTTTACGTTATATTTTGTCAAATCTCAATTTTTATTAAAGAAGGTAATACAATACCCAGCTCCTGAGAGTAGGCCAGAACATAAAGTTAAGTGATTATTGGATATTTTCACCACTTATGGGGTTGAGCTGGTTTACCAAACTACGTCTGGGTATACTACTCAGAGATTTGACTAATGAGGATGGAATTGCGTCTACTGTTATTTTTCATTATAATTTATACTGTTCTTATTACAGCCAAACTGAAAAGATTAATAATTTATCATTGATTGTCCCAATCACACTTTCATGGGAGATTTAGCCAATTTTTTACATATATATATATATATATATATATATATAAATATGTTTTATTCTTGATGGTAGTGCTATGGACACAATACATAAATGAAATAAGATCGTAGACTAAAATACATAAACACATCTGTTATACAGATATGTTGTTATAATAATAATAATGATTAGCATTTTACACTTCCACATTGAGGCATGCATGGTCATTTGATATTTTGTATTTACCTTATAACTTGTAATTAATTAATTTTATACTAGCTAATACTAATAATTTTATAGCATTTGCGCAGGAGCAATAGAGACAAGCAATAAAAGTTAAAAAGTAAAGTTACAACAGCATATATAAATATGTCTCACTGCTGGGCAAAGGCAGAGGCCCTTACACCGGGTTACAGAGGGTCCAACAAAGAGACCCACTGCTGGGCGAGTTTATATAGAAATAGAAATAGTAGTATGCATTAGGTAGTATGCATTAACCGGACCAATATCGATTGCTACATTGGTCTCGCTGTCCCTACGAGCAGAGACCTCGTCCGGACCGGCGGCTAAGATCGCGAAGACCGAGAAGACCGAGTTCCGCGAGGTGACGCGCTCCGGCCAAGAGTACGAGGTGGTCTGCGACGGGGACGTGTGCGTGCGCCGTCCCAAGGAGAAGACCGAAGACCCTGGCCCCAGCACTAGACCTTCGCCCCCTGTCAACCCCGTGAGTTTTTTTTTTTTTTTTGTGAGAAGGTGGCAATCGAGCTGGCAGTTCGCCTGATGTCAAGTGATAACCACAGTTCATTGACGTTTGCAACACTCGCAGGGTTACAGATGCGTTGCCACCTTACAATAAGTTGGGCTCCGGCTACAAGAGTCACCAGACAAAACGCAGAAGTGTAACGCTTCCACTTCACGCCGGTCTTCTATGAGGTCGTGGTAGTTTTCCGGATGGACCTGCCTGTTCGTGCGACAGAGAAGACGGTTGCGTGGTGGGGCCAGTCCCAATGATTGGGGTAATTCAAATTATTGGTTAAGTTAGATATGTAGTTTCGCATGTTTAATTTTTGTTTTTGTTTTTACTGTTTGTGCACTTAAGATAAAACATAAAATGACGATAAATCATTGTCGAAAAGTTTAATATTATCACGTGGTAAACATATCGACCGTTTAGCTTAGTGGAGAGCGTCTGGCAGCGTCAAACAAAAATTGACAATTTGTCTATTAAACTCATTTTGAAAGATAATAATAATTTTTTTTGGCCGCTACGTAATTAAGAATTTTTGAAGTAAGGTGATATACATGTATATAACTACACTTCACAAATTCTTACTTACTTGAAAACTATCATGAGACTTGTTTAATTTCAGGAAGTCACCCCAACTCCTACCCAAGAAGAGAGCACAGCGAAGCCTGACGAGAAAGTGGAGCGTGCAAAAGTATTAATAGATGCCCTTCGGAAGGAAAAAACTGAAAAGGAAAAGGAGGTAAATTTTAAATATAGAAATTTTTAATATTATGAAAAAAATGTGTATATAAAATATTGTGTCAGAATTATGAAAGTTTTTGATAATTCAAGAGATTTTGAGAGTATAACTTCAAAATAATATTAATTTTATATTTTTATCTCCCCAAAGCTGGAAAGGCAAAAGGAGTTGGAACGACGCGCAGTCGGCCAGGGCGTAGCCGAGCTGAAGAGGTGGCAAGCGGACCAGGAATTGAAACAAATCCAGGTATTGAATTGTTTAGATAATTAATACATATAAGGGTGGTAGAGCCACGCAGCAGCCTCGGCTGTTGCACGAATGGGCAGTCTCGTCCGGGTAAGTACCACGACCTCACAGAAGACCGGCGTAAAGTGGAAGTATGACAAATACTTTCGCGTTTCGTCTAGTGAGTGAGGTAGCCGGAGCCCAATTTCCAAAAAGGTTGTCAACGCATCTGCAAACCCTCGGGTGTAGCAGATGTCTATGGGCGGCGGTATTCACTTAACATCAGGTGGACCGTCTGCTCGTTTGGCAACTTTTCACATAAAAAAAAAACATAATATAAAATTTTCAATTTTAAGTAACCCCCTGACATAAAAAAAATTCAAATTATAACTTAGCAATATACAAAATTATCCTGTGTGGACGTTTTAAAAGCATAAATTTCACGTGGTCCACGGATCAATTATCTGTGGATCATGCAAATGTTTGTCCTGTGTGGAAATCCAACCGCCGACCCCAGGCGCTGAAGCCAATACCTTGGCAACTGCGCTACAGAGTCATCAAACTCATTGTACCCCGTAGGAGGAGCGTAAACGAGAGAAGATGGAGAACAACCTAGCACGTCAGCGCATTTTGGAGCAAATCGCGCAGGACCGGGCGGAGAGACGCGCCAGAGACCAGCCCCCTCCCCCTCAGCCGCCGCAAACATCGCAGCCCCCACCGCCCTCTAGTGAGTAACTTACGAGTTTGATCTTCTATATTTTGACGTTTCACATTTATCCAGACGGGATAATTTATTTTTGTGTGGAGCTGGCGTGCGAGCAAACGTGAAGCTGGCGGTGGTAATCACGAATATCGGGTGAGCACCCGATATTGAGTGATTACCATGCGATATCCGTAGGGCTTCGGATGCATTGCCACCTTTTAATAAAGTGGGCCCCGGCTACCTCACTCACCAGACGAAACGCGTAAATGCAACATTTCACGCCGGTCTTCTGTGAGGACTTGTTACTTACCCTGACAGACCTGCCTATTCGTGCAACAATGAACTCTATTGCGTGGATCTACTGCCACAGTTAACAATGCTAAGGAAGGACCTGACTTTTATTTTCGGTCTCTACAAATGTTTTATAGTGAGATTGGAATTTATTTACTTCGTTAACACCATCCCGTTTGAAAAAAATATTTAAATAGACACGATATTTTAATATAACAAACAATACTTTTAAGGGATAGGGATCAATCAATTGAGATTAGAATCACTCAATTATAATGATATTGGATGTATTTACGTAGAAAACTCCATTAAATCGAAAATAAAATCTAAATAGTTCACATAATTTACTAATACAAAAAATAATAATTGTAATTTTTACTTGTCAATAAATGAAAAATTATATTAATTTTATTAATTAAATTCTTATGTCAATTTATATCAATTACAAATTTTTAATATCTTTTTTTCACAAACAAACAGTTCTGGTACACGGGACAAAACTTAGTTATTTTTGTTTAGTTACGCTAAACAAGTATAACTTCTTACGTGCATAAGTAAACACACGTTCTCAGGCGCTGTATGCAGTGAATTTTTAACAATTTGGGTGGTGAAGTATGAGGAAGCGGGGGAGGGGCAACGCCGCTTAGCGGCGCGCGAGTTTCGTCGACGCGCCGCTAGTCCATCCAAGTCATTCTTTACTATATTCATTAGTGTGTGTGTAGTGATGGGCCGTAGGATACTATCGATAGTATCATGGAAGGCTTTCGAAAATGTTCACAGATGATCCCTATAATATCTTTTATAGACTATGATTGTTTTTTACTTTTATATTATAATAGGAATAATAATAAACAAAGAAATATAAAGTATGAGAAATCTTCTTCCTGTTTATTATTATTTTTTTAATTAAATGGAAAAGGAATTGATTAAAAATACATCTTAAAGTCAAATAAATTAATAAAGGCAAATTACTTATAATTATTATTTTTTGTTTTTATGGTTTATATTGTGATTTTAAAGAAATGGCTCATAAATTTTTTGCAGAAATTACGAATACAACTGTTTTTATTACATTTTTTTATATATTAGAAATTTTAATTTATCCTTTAAATGTTCAAGACTTACTATGTTATATTACTTTTTCAACTAAAATGAAATTTAAAAAACTATCGATAAAATCCTCATTTGTATCGATAAACGACAGCAATTATAACTAGAATCGAAATTTTGTCACTTTGCACAGACCTCGCGTATCCTGTTGGTCCGAGCGTCATACACAACGGTAAACTATTGCTGTAGTCCCTAGTTCAAACCACTCATCGAGTGAAGTTATATTTTTTATATTATTTTCACTTTTAATTTGTTACCAACTAATTATATTGTTTTTATTTTGCAAAATGGCTCAATTTGGGAAATAAACAAATCATAAAAAAAATATAAAATAATTATTTTTCGTGTGCAAGATAAATGTTCGTTTTAGGGTGAACAATTAAATAAATTAATAAAAAAAAGACGACGTTAAAAAAATTAATACTAAAAGTTGGTTTTTTTACTGATAGACTGTTCTCCAATTGTTTCAACTTTGAACAAATACAATAATATTTCGTTGTAATTATTTATGAAAATAATAAAATCAAAAATAATTATATGGTAATTAAGAAATACTTCCAAATAAGAAAATCAACAATAAGTACAACAAAATTTTAGGGATTTGAACCCAATCCATAAAGAAGGATGGTCCTATACACTGTATGTATAGGACTGATAGACCAATCAATCACGAGATAAGACATTGAAATTATGCTTTAAACTTTTAATACATACAAATAATTTATAAATAGGAAATATGTGAATATATATTTTTTTAGTTTCATGTTTTCGAAGGTCTAATAAAAGTAAAACTCTCAATAATAAATAAATACGAAACATATTTCGTAACGGTGAGCGGGCGAAGAGCGGCATAGGTCCATCTAGCAAGGCGCCTCAGCGCTCTCTGTTCAACGTGTGGAGTTGGAAGAGAACCGAAACAACGCCGCGGTGGCGCGGTATTTTGGCCATCGCGTTCGAATTAATTTTAATGAATTAAATTAATATTTAGAAATATCTTACATCAATCAACAAATTAAAACAACAATCCTTTTTATTAATATATTCTACACCAGTGATATTAATTTCATTAAGATTTGTTGATGTATTACGTTCATTTTTGGTTTTGAATTTCTCTTTTAGAGGTAGTTTCATGTTTTTTTTTCTATCGAGAAAATATATCGAGAATATGTTTTGGAAACAATGTTCCCTTAGAATGTACGATCAAGATTAACATATATTTTTTTTGCTGCTATAAAATGTATAGATTTTGTTAAAAAATCTTTTGAAAAACCTATTTTTACTGCATACAGCGCCTTAAATTAGAAATAAAGGTGATCTAGCGACAGCTATTACTTGTAAAGATATAAAGGGGGAATGGTAGGCCAAGGTAGTGGCTTCGGCATTGGTGGTTCGTGGGTTCGATCCCCGCACGGGATACTATTTGTGTGACCCATAGATAAGTTATTTCGCATTTGGCTGTAAGTCCACTTGTCCAAATTTGTTTGTAAGACATCCTTAAAACACGGGACAGTCTTCTCCTAAAATGAGGGTAATGTATAAAAAAGACAAAAAAAAACTAACCTAACCTAATTAATATGTCACTCTCGAATCAGCTGTCGGTGACGGCGGTTCTCGGGCGCGCGTGCAATTCAAGATGGCGGATGGCAGCGCGCACACGGCGCACTTCGACGTGGACGCGACCCTTCAAGAGCTGCGCCGCTACGTCTCCGCCAATATGCAGGTGAGCCATAACCCCCCCCCCCCCCCACCCGCTTGTAACTGGCCGGTAATAGCCTGTTAATGGCCTTGAGGTTACACTTATTTTAGGTACGTTCAGAACAAATAATGATAGTGAGATATTTACGACAGCGCAGGCAGCGCGCACACAATTCGTGCAACAACGAAGACTGTTGCGTGGCCCTACCTAAGTTAAAATGTGCCCTGAAATATTTAAGGACACTTAAAGATATTTATTCCTTTTATATTCTTCTTTACTACTAAATACGCCTATATTTCGTCTTTAAATTACTCAACACACGTCCTCCGTCTTTACATCTAGTTCACACTCGCCATACGTCTTCACTCTCGCTTACTTATTCTATCCGTCTTGGTCTTTCATTCAACCTTCCGTTTCTCCGCTCTCCACTATCATGCCCACATATATCGTTTATTTATTTATTTGTCAATTATTTATTTATTTAACGATAGCTTTCTCATCATTTACCGAACTCCGCAGCTCCAGCAGTCCGAGTTCTCCCTGTGGACGGCGTTCCCGCGCCAGGAGCTGACCGAGAGCGAGTCCACCCTCCGCCAGCTGCACCTGGCGCCCTCCGCCGCCCTGCTGGTGCTGCCGCGGCGCGTCCCCACCACCGTCGCCTCGCCCTCCGCATTCTCCACAATCCTGAGTGAGCACACCAGCTCGGGGGCCAATAAGTCGCTCAATTAAATCCGATCACACCGACACTAAGACTTGACGGAAACTGAAAGTTCTTATTGCGTGGGTGTGATGAAATTAATTATCAACAAGTCGACGGCAGCCCGGTGCGACTGTTAGATTAGTCTGTACGGGACCATCGGTAAATGACAGACCCGCCCATGGACATTTTCGTTGCGTTTTAATACACCTTTACCTTGTACCTTTTAGTAACGTGAATCCTTTTAGAAACGGGCTACCTCGCTCACCAGGCGAAACGCAGAAGTGTAATACTTCCACATCACGCCGTCGAGGTTCAGGCTAGGCGCCCCGAGGGCCCGGCCACCTCAAGTCCGGTGGATCTGTAAAGGCCTCCCAAGGCCAATAGTGGTAGATCCTGCCAAAAAAAAAAACACCCTGACTTCTATGAGATCACGGTACTAGTGCCGTAGCGCGGTTAAAAAGTAACGTTTTTATGGTACGTTTTACAGCATTCTGCCTTTTATATATACTACTTCTATGTATTCTATATAACTGCCTTCCGAACCGGTGGTAACTTACTAACGAATTTACGTATTAATTATTTATGTTAACTTCGACGTTCCATAAGAACGCGCAAGCGCCTGTTTGAATGAAGATATTTTGAATTTTTTATTTTACATAATTTTTTTTATGTGAGAAAGTGGCAAACGAGCTGGCGGTTCACCTGATGTTAAGTGACAGCCGCCGTCCATGGAAATTTGCAACACCCAGTAGGGTTGCAAATGCGTCGCCACCTTCAAATAAAGCGGGCTCCGGCTACCTCGCTCACCGGACGAAACGCAGAAGTGCAGCACTTCCACTTTGCGCCGGTCTACTGCGAGGTCGTGGTACTTACCCGGAGGGACCTGCCCATTCGTGTAACAGTGAGCACCGTTTCATGGTCCCACCATAGTGTTTACCTACACTCAGTCGTTTGCGGTACATCACTAACCATACCGCCCGCAGTTACTAGACTCCATAGAGTCAGTAACTCGTTCATGGGACGGTGTATACGCTTCTACAACAAAATCCCAGTTAATGTGCAAAGACTATCTATTAACAGGTTTAAGAAATTTATTAAAGAAAAACTTTTTAAAAACGGTTATTATAATATAAATGAATACATTAACGATAATAACCCCTGGGAATGAGATGATCGCTCCTAAGCTGTTTCTAAAAAAAAAATATGTACTGTATAACTATGTATTTGTTGAGTAAAAAAATTACAAAAAAGAGGATACCTACGGAGTTTCTTTCGCCTGTTTCTTGTCCGTTAAAGGAACCTCATTACGAAACGGTGGTAGACTTAAAAAATGACTATCGATAAATGAAATGTATATTTCTTATTTCGATGAATAAATGATTTGAATTTGAATTTGAACTTGCAGCGTTCCTGACGCAGCTGTTCGCGACGCTCGTGCTGGGCCCCTCGCAACGAGCGTACGCTTGGCTGCGCGCGCACCTGCCCTCCGCGCCGCCCCCCTCCGCCGCAACCCGCCCCCGCCCCCGCGCAGCCCCCCGCCCGCCCCGCGCCCCACCAGGGGCCGCTGCGCCGCCGCGGCAACGTGCACCGGCTCGCCGGCGACCGGAACAGCGACGACGAGAACAACACGTGGAACGGCAACTCCACGCAGCAGATGTGAACCGCAGCCAACACCGCCGCCGGAGCCCTAAAAGAACGCTCGCAACAGCTGACGTTAACCGCTCGCGGATTTGTACGGAGGTTGGAGGTGATGAGGACCGTCTTGTGTGTGATTTCCCCCCATTAAGTTTGAGTGTCCAGCTATATGCTGACAATGCAGGTCCAATCCCAAGCACCTTCCGAAATAGTGCTTGCGTACGATAAACAACGATTTGAACTTCGCTTTCTTAGATATAGTGAAGTGTGTCGAGTTCAAATGTTTAAAAATATTCGTGACTAGAATGATAATCGCTTTGATTATATATCATATCAGTATGTTCCAACCAATTATATTTGAAAACACCATAACCGAGCGGAAATTTATCGGTCCTTGTTTATTCTAATTACGCAGCGCCCCTTATTTCACGCGTTCTGACGTACACTTTTAAATACACAGAGACGGTTCCCCTTACCTCTACACTCCATAACGTATGTTTTATTATGTTTTATTGCACCAGTGGTCGTCAGCCACTGCCTTGGGCATCTGCTCCTGTGTCGGCTAAATCCTCTATTACCATGTAATCGGAAATTAAACCACATGTGGAAACTTGGAAACCATATGTATAGACCACCCAAACTTAACTCGGCTGATGTGACTCATATCTTCGGAAAACATGTGGGGTGTTGTTGCTCTTGACGACTCCAATAGGTTGCATAATATTTAATATAGTTACTTTATTTATCGCATTTTTCGCTTCCTTAGAACTGATGTATGCTTGTCAATAAGTACATACATTTTTATTTCCTTTCTAAGTTCCTTTATTATTTGATATAAGCAATTTTTTCATTTGTCCTTATGATGTCATTTAATTTCGTTTATTAAAGACAATCCTTATAAATATTTAGAATGTAGAAAGTTCCCATATAAAAATCTGCAGTTGATAAATTTTATTTCTACAACATTTATGAATGGTTAAATCTCTTATAAAATTTATAATAAATAGACTCGCATTATTACCCAATATTGTTTTTTTTCAATGCTGGCTAAATTGCTGTTACTCAATAAAATAAAATCTATACCTGTTATTTAATCAAAGTTATTTCTTTCAATACTATTAGCACTAATGAATACAATTACAACTATTACTTCTACAAATCTTATCAAATTTAATGGGAAATTTTAGAATGCTTTGAAATGTTAGATATTGCAAATAAATTTTATTCAAAAAAATCACACAACATGTTACAACTATACTATAATGTAATATTTGTTTTGAAATAAAAAAAAGATTAAAACTATGTTTATAAACATACTACTTGTAGCAATAACATGCAATATAAATGTATAAACTTCTAGCAAAATTCTAGTTCTTGCTAACTCTTAACATTAAGCTTTTACGTATGTTCATAATCTTTAAAGAAATAATGCACCAGTATTTTGTGTGACATAGACAAAACTATAATTTTTCACATTGTGACTTAAATGAAATAATATATATGTTATCTATACTTGCTGTCTTGTTATTCATAATCCCCATTGATAGTGATCGGCAAACATCCTAATGACATTCGATTGCAGAGAGTTATGCAAACGTGAGCCTATCAAGAGCATTTGCACCAAAAAGGACTTGTACTTTTCTGCCACTATGCTTTTAGCTCGAGTTGTTTGCCGTTGACTAAAGGCGCCTTTAATAAAGTTTTATCTGGGAAAAAAATGGTGGCTGTCGCTGATGTACAACATAAGACATACCGTGGCACAGTCAAAATCAAAATCATTTATTCATCTACGAAGAAAAATATATTTCATTTATCGATAGAATTTTTTTTTAATCTACCACCGTTTCGTAATGAGATTCCTCTAACTGAGAAGAAATAGGCGAAAGAAACTCCATAGGTATCCTCTTTTTTGTAATTTTTTTCTTAACAGAATTAAAATATACAACAATTTTTTCCTTTAAAAATAGTTTGGGAGCGATCAACTCATTCCCAGAGGTTATTGTCATTCATGCAATCATTTATATTACAATAACCCATTTTATAAAGATTTTCTTTAATAATGTTACTTAAACCTGTTGTTAGGCAGACTGCGCATTTATTGGGATTTTAGTGTAGAAGCGTATACACCGCCCCATGAACGAGTTACTAGACTCCATAGAGTTACAAGCTTGTGTTTGTTCCTAGTATTTACATTATGTACATCAGTACTGTTATTAAAATTAATAATATTTCTACGTACATACATTACATTTTCATTTAAATATTGAGAGTATTAGTTGTTAGGGTACTGGCTTCGCGCCGCGGTCGTGGGTTCGATTCCCACATGGGACAAGTATTTGGGTTACCCACAGATAATTGTCCACGTAAAATCTGTGACGATACGTGAAAATTATGGATTGCTTAGTAAATTTACACAGTAGCAGTTGCATATTTGCTAAAAGTTTTAACGATAATGTGGGCGTATTTGGTTAGGCACGCCTCACATAATTTATGTTGGTCAACTGAATTCGGCATTGTGAGATATACGTGATGTCTGACACGGCATTTGTGTACTAAAGGTATAAGATATAAATTACTATATATCTCACTCTATACCTTCTTTTTCAAACAAAGTAGAGTACTCAAAAGTAAATATTGTAATATTTTCTTTTGAAAATAACGGAACATAGAAAAAATAGCAACGTGTAGAGCTGTTATATTCACTTATCAAAGGTTCTTGCGAAAAAATAGTAGAGACATGTTCGGAGTTACAATACAACTCCATTTCGACAAACTATAGAAATAAACACAAAACTCAAACATTTTGTCCTGTATTTGTAGCAATACATTTGTGAAAGATTGTATTGCTAAAAAGACAAGATTCTTTCTTTCTTTAAATCACTTTGTTTATTGCGGTTTACTTAAAGTTGTTATTGGTAAAGTCGAACTGAAAATAGAGTAGGATATGGCAACCGAAATTTGAATAAAAATCTACATATGAATGCAAAACCTTTAAATAACTTGAAAGTGTAGACTTTCTTTTCTAGCTATTTTAAATGTTTTTTCCTAAATCGCTACTGACACAAGATCGACACATACCTGAATATTCAAAAGCGCGCTTAAATGTAACAAGAATATCAATGAAAAGCGAAAGTTTTTGTAGAGACTTATTGTTTAAAGTAGCATAGTCCGAAACCCGCCAAGAGAAAGAAGAAATGGGCAAACGGAACCGCACAACAGTTCAGTTTCATTTCACAGGTCAGCTCAGTTATGTTCTAGTGTTTGGCGCGAAATGACGCTCTTTCACTGCAGTAAAATACATTTTACGTTAAGATCAGCATAAGTGTTTTATGAAATAAAATGATGGATTTAAAGGAAATTATAAAGTGGTTTATTCCGTGTCTTCATATGTGTGTACATTTGAAAATTTGTAAAAGAAAAACAAGTCACATATATTTGACTTGCGTGTGTTTGTTTTTACTTTTTAACTCACGACCTACTTTTGGGGCAAATGTTAGCATTAATAGTGACGTAGAAATTAATAATCTTTATTCGAATAAAGATGACTTATATTTAAGTACCAATAGCAAATCTATATTTAACCAAAGTGATTTTTTTTCAAATATAAACACACAGAATAATGGATCACGGGCAATTTCTGCTGATCTTTCATCCGGTACGTATTTACTATGCCTTCTCCCGAAACAAAAAGACTGGTTGTATGCTTTCACTAACTATAATTATGATTTGCGACTATTACAAAAATATATTTCTGACAATAAATAATATTCTGTGGAAATTAATTGTACTGTTAATATAATATACATATATTACCTACATAGAAATTTTATTAAAGCATTTGTTTTATATGACAAATTAAATTAATCAATACTGTTTTTAAAATATGTTTTGAAAATCTGTCACATACTGCGTCCACTTATACTAATATTTACACTTTCTTCTGAATTTTTGACACAACATATATGTATGTCAATTGTTACAGCTGAATCTTTTCAAAGTTCGTTTTCCTTTAAGAGCTGATATTCACTATGGTTACCTATGTATAACTACTGAAATAATATCTTTGTTCTATCACTTTAAGGTCGATAATTGTTTTTATCAGCCGGTTAGTGCAATTGATAAGCGATAGACTTCACCGCCGCGAGATGTGGGTTCGAATTCCACCTGGGAAAAGTATTATTATGACCTACAAACAATTGTTCCGGGTCTGGTTGTATGTCCTTGTTTTGTAAAACCCCTCATTTTTTATATGTATTTGTTTATTGTTTTCTTGATTTTACGCGAATATTATACATATTAAATGAAACTACTTTACGGATTTTATCGCGTTTTTTTTTATTTTGATTTAAATTCCAGCAGAAGCCATAATCTCCTTCGGATCGGAATTAAAATAATAAAAATAATTGACGGTAGCCGGGGTTAACTATGACATCAAGACGTATAACAACTTAGTCTGTCCCGTGACCATGAACGCTGGAAAGGGTTCGAAACGTCGGAAATTTAAATCAAAATAAAAAAACGCGATAAAATCCGTAAAGTAGTTTTATAGTCTTCTTAGCTCGCAAACTGTTTTTCATAAAAGTTATACGCATGGCGTCCTCATCGAATCATTAGAGGGAAATGAAGGTGTTGACAGTAAACAACACTATAGTGCTAATTTGTTTGCTTTAATTGGTAAGCTTACGTGTTGGGGAACTGCTGCCTCACAGAAAAATGGAAATTCCTTTTTACAAAGCACACGCGACTCTATTTCTAAGCTTTTTACGAAACCTTTGAAAACTTTTCCATGTGATCTGTGTGCCGGAGGAAGTGTTTTTTTTTTATGACTAAAGGCAAAATAATCACACAGTTCGGACAAAGATCTAGTTGTATAACTTATTTGCATTGTCTCCGAAGTTTTTGGAACCATAAAAAAATTACCATAACTGAGGATATCAAACTTAAATAATTCATGTTATTGAAAAAAAAAGGAACCTTTTTTATTCTGTGATTGCTTTTTGCAAGACTTTTATTTTTAGAAAGCATAAATATCATTTTACACTCGCGTAAGCACGTTTTCTAATTCATTGCGTGATAGTCAAATGTAATTAAATCTTTATAGATTTCATCACCTCGTTAATTGTAACCAACATCTCGCTTTCTCCTGACAACAATGAAACTAGATCTTTATCATATATGTATCTATTTTATGATTTTATAGAAGGTTTAAAATTTAAAACGCACAT